CAGACTCAACAGTCTTTCTCCTCAGAGAATTAGTTGACTATAATTGATTGAAAGTAATTAATTAGAACTTTTTCTTTTTCTGGTACTTTGCGTTGAAAAACTATTGTTTTAGTAGAAAAGTGACAATGTTCAACTGCTTATCAATTAATATATTCGAATAATCCTGTATTTTTGTAATAAAATAATTAATAAATATATGTAAACTTTGAGTTCGTCTATCCGGAGAAGAAGGGTTATATGTAACTTTATAGTCAAGTTTTATCTCTCTGCAATAAACACTGGCAACTAGGGACCTACCGAAAGTCTCAGTCTTGGTCACTATAAACTAGGATAACCAAAATCTAAATGACACTGACTTATATCGAAATAAATCGACACATAGCTTTATTAATATATTTTATTTTTTTCTAGATGTTGTTGTACCATTTGAAACTCTTAAACAATGTGTTATTAATTTATATAAATTAACACATATAACTATTCAAGCAAGTGGTAAATATGATTTAATTGATGAAAATCAATGGAAAGATTTTATTTTAAAAACAAATATTATTAAATTTAATTTTAAATTTCAAATTTTTAATCCCAATTTAAAATTGAATGAAGATCTATCAATATTACTTGAATAATTTCGTTCATCATTTTGGATTGAACGAAAAACATTGTTATGTTGGAATTTATTATGATGAAGATAATCAACTAACATTTTTATATATTATACCTCGATTTCGATTCAAAGATATAACTTATTCTTCAGTAAATTTTTCATATAAAACAACTGCACCATCAAATATTGAACAATATTATTTCTATCAACATAAAATTGATTCTTTAATAATTGATATTGATAAATATTTTTAGTCCCACCAAATCATCGTTTTACACAAGTTATATCATTAATACTTTCTGGTTCAATACTTATGTCATTAGATATTCTTAAAACAATAATTGATTTAAATCAAATTGAAACATTAGATGTTTATTCAATTGAATCTTTATCAATAAATGGATTTTATGAATTAATAAAACATCTTCCTCGATTAAATGAACTTACAATGGAATTTAATCCATTATTTGTTGTACCATTACAAATTCATATTCTTAGATTAGAAGATGATAGTCGAAGAATAACTATTGATACTCTTTATCATACAATACACAATGTTAAAACTCTTGAAATTCCAAAAAATTCAAGAAATATGATGATTGATATTATAGATCAACTTAAAAATCTTGATAATATTATGTTTACACATGATGAATTTTCTCAAGATGCAGATACGGATTTCTTCCTTAAGAAATTATCTTTTCGTTGGTTCGAAAATAATTCCTATCGTCTTGCAACCTAATCATTTTACATTTCGACAACGAGAAGAATTTTCATATGTTCAAATATCAATTGGTGGTCCAAAAACTGAAATATATTCAAAATAATAGACATTATTTGATTCAATAACTAAAAATTGTTTAGTTACTTTTTTGTCGATATTTCGAAGAAGTTATAGAGATTTTTTTGTTTTTTGAAAGATATTCTAATAAAGTTTTTTGTTAATGATTAGACTTGCTTCTTCGTTCATTTTTGCAAGCAGCACTATATACAATTAATATACTGTAACAACAAAATAAGTTAACTTTTGATAAACAAAGTTCTTCTTTCTCTTAAACCTTTTATAATCTATCAGATAAACATTTTATCGAAGTGAGTATTACTTCTATTTCTTTTTTATTGTATTATAGGTCTCTTTATTCTTTTCATGTTTGTAATTTCCATCAAACTAGCAGTGCAAATGAGCCTATATCAATTCCATACTAATAATGAAAATGGAACACAGGAAGAGTCAAAAAGAATCCGATTTGATTTCCAAGAAATGATAAATTCTTTCCAGACGAGAAGCATCTTGTTTTACTATGCAAAATTTTGTCTATCGATCTCTTGTCTGGTTTTCAAGATCTTGTGTTCCAGACAATAACATACATTTTTCTGCTATCTTCTGTAAAACAAAAAAAGCACGTTGTATATAATTAGTTCGTCTAATTGATAATTTCTTTTAGAGAAGAATGAAATAAAAGCACGTATTTCCTTACTTGTTACTATAACTATTAAATACTATAATAGTTCTCTTTACTGTCTTATTGTTTCAAAGTATCGCTAACAACCAAGTAGGAAAAAAACTAAAAATCAGAAGATTTGATAATCCTGATAATGATATGAAAAGGATGGGAGTATGGGTTTAGGTGGGACTATACATGAAAACAAGACACACACACACTCGCATTCTGAAGACTTCATCAATATAAAATATTTATATTGAGTTAAATTGAATTTAAGTGGAGGATGATACTCAATACATATTGTTTGAAAAACCAATCAACAGTACTAAAATCGAAACGATAATTTTCATGTTGAATATCATAAGCATTAGTTTTTGATAATGAAGGACATGTTTGCTATGTTTCTATCTGTATCTTCAATATTTTGTAAGATAAAAACATTAATCAATACCATTATCTCTTCATGTACAGTTTTTTCAATAAAATATTTTAAATTTCCATACGCATATTTATGACAATTAGCATAGACATAAATTAATAAAATATGTGATTTGACATTATAATCTTAAAATTAGAGTAACTGCGAATATATATGACTGATAGATGAACCATTTAAAATAAGTGAAATGTTTCGGAAAGGAAACAACAAATAACAAACTAACAATGAGTATTGATGGAAATGATATGGCACGATATTTGTTCCATTCCATCAGATTCCATGAATACGATTCTGAAAAAACAACTCACAAATGTTTTATTTTGGCTTGTGAGGGAAAATATGATTTTTCTCATGATATTTGTTATGGTTTATTCGTTATATAGAAATTGATTTTGACAAATACTTAAGTTTCACTCGACTCCTTAAGTTATTAAATTTCCATTCTTTTAAATAAAAATATTGAAGAATTCCTATGCTTGGAGACATATAAAATGTTAGAGATTGGAACTAATGTTTTCCTACGAAAATTCGAATGATACAATCTCTACTCATAGTTTAGTATAAAAGAAAAGAGTAAGAAGTAAAGTAAAATATGATTTAGATGACTACTTCATCAATCTTTTCATTGATTGTATGTGGTTAACACATAGCAGAAAAATGAAATCTAAGACTACTATATATCCGGATAAGTCCTATTTGCATTCTCAATTTTTGAATATATGATGTTGGTATGTTACATACTCTATAGATATTGATATAGTTTCTCACATGGTAACTCATGATTTAGTACCGAAAGAAAACAAAATCAAATACTGAGATAATTCAGTGGCAATATTCATCAATCTAATAATTTAATACAATATAAAATTGAATCATGTAAGACAATTGTATTCCTAACTTGAATATTCTGTAGGTTATATTTATGTAAAACGAGTCATCTGATCATGTATCTATTGAAATATACAATCGATTAGTTCATCAAAAATTCGATGCCGAAACAATATTTCGTTCGACTAACTTTTTTAACACTTTTTTATTTCATTGCAACTGTTGTGCATTGATAAAATTTTCAGTTTTCAAATTTTTTCTTTTTAATAAATCACATCTCACATCAATTATGAATTTAACCAGACAATGTCGACAAATTTGCCATCTTCATCGAATTTATGAACAAGTGAGGATAATAATTTAAATAATACTTTCACAATTTTGCATTCTTTCTTCTGTAATAAAATAAATTGTCTCCGGTTCTCGATTGTTCGTCATTTAAGAGCACACGAAACAATTGTCAGTCATAATATCAACATCTGCTCGACTATTCCAGAATTTCTATGAGTGAATAGAACTACATCATATTGTTCGTTTTTGATCAGATTATTTACAATTCGTTGAAAAGTATTATCTTCGTTCGATTGTTTTGCATCTTGTAACAAATATTCTTGATGTATCATTTTCAATATTTCCCGTTTGAATTATTTGAATAAATATCTCACGATCAGTAGAAGGTTCAATTACTATAATTATACTGGATATATGCACAAAAAGGTATTTTCAATTTTTAGGAATTGTGAAACAAAAATGAGTAAATCCAGCACAACTTGATAACAATCCATATTAAGATAGACCGATAATTCTTCAGAATAAAGGTATTGTAGTAATCTGAACATACGAGTGAGAGCTTTGATAAATCATCATTTAGATGTGTTGATATTCGCAAATAACAGTTGGTTAACTGGTTTAGTAAAATTCAATTGTTGCAAATTATTGTCATTACATTCTAGACAAGCTTCTTTGGTAAGAACAGAGGATTCAATACGTTTGATGTCAATCACAGATTTAGCATTGAAGTTTGGCTCACGTCTACAGTATTGACATAGTATAGATTTCTTCATTTTTTGTTGTTTTCAAAGATATCGAGAGCTTTTGAGATATTTCGCGAAATGATCTACATCATCCACATCTTTGCATAAAAAAAATCGTTGAATAAATGTAAGCATCTATCAACAAGAATATTATTTAGTTGTTGATATGAACCAGAAAATGTTCGAAATATATTACAAGCATCTGTAGAGTATTGTAAAATTAGTATTAAGATTTCATCAGATAGTGTTTTTGAAAGGTGGATGACAAGGATTCCATGTGTTTATGTTGTTTTTCTAAATATCAAAAAATAAACATTCACTATATCGTTTCTCGTACATTTTATTGAATCATAACTGTCTCGTTATTTAGTTAATTCATCATCTTTTTTCTTTTCTACTTCCTGCGCTATATGTTTTGAAACTTGCTGATGCTAGTACAAGACAGATGAATGAGCCAATACATAAAAAAGAAGTAGCTGATTATTATTTTGCAATATTATGAACTTTTGCACTTTATATAACAAATGTTTTATTTTCTTAGTTAGATCTGTATTTGTCTTAATGTAGAATATGTAACTTCAGTTTCATTATACAATCACATCTTCAAGATATAGAAGACAAGAAAGCATTTCGTCTTGTCCATATTAAAGTACATACTCAATAATAATGTCAAGTTTGTCTTCATGGTTGTTCAACATAAAAGTAAACATACAAAAAGTTTCTTATTTTCATTATTTCCAAATAGGTGCTTTAACATATTGCCCATGTCGTCCTTTTTTCAAGTAACGCCGCTATAACGTCAAAACGCCATTTAGTGGCATTATTTTGAAATTTAATGCCGCTAAGTATCGCAATTATTTCAGTAATATAGCGCCGCTATAACGATCAAAATTATTCTAGCAATATAACGTCGCTAAGTATCATACTTTTTCTAGCACTCTCTACGTCGCAATAACGGTATCAAAATGCCATTATACTAGTTTCATCTTTAAGTTTAAAAAATTTTATTATTTGAATGTGTATTGTCCTCTTCAAAATGTTGATGATTTGATTGATCAAAAAAATCACGATTCAGAGATTTAGCATATTGCCGGATCTCCTGTCTTCACTTTTGTGATTTATTCTCAGCACTTGAACTTTTATATGCATCTGAAACTAAAGAGAAAATATTATTTGCTGAACGTCTAATTGATTATTATTGTCGAACAGCATCGAACGTTCATAATATAATTATTTATCGATTTTTTTTCTTTGTATGCATATCCTCATTTAGCATACCAGTTCCATCTACATGGTGGTTTAGCACATACACCAGTGTTCGTATTTGAATCATTAATTAGAAATATATAACAAAGCCTCCATCTAAGTTTCAATCTCGCTCCTCAAATCGTGTATTGGAGCAATATACGATACACAGTGTGATCGAACAAGTCTAAATTACCAAAAAATTGCCCCATAAGCGTAAATATTGCTTAGAAAAAAATTGTATTTCGATTTTGCCTTTAAAACAAATATTTAGTTTATTTCATTGAATAATTACAATAAGTTAAAGACAGTGATGATTATATTTTATTTTATTTTCCTTCTGACTGATAGATTGAAGCGAGTTGAATGTTTTCTCTCTTCTCAGACAGAACAGACGAGAAAAAATAATCTCTTTGAAAATAACTACTCTATCCAAATTTATCCCATTGTTTATCAACGATAAACGAACTTTATGTCTCATACTTCAATAACTCCTAGCAATATTCATTAGCAGGAACGTTTCAAAATGATGATATAATTTATATACATGAATTAAATAAGGATGGAAAAGGCTTTAAACAAACGACAAGTATGGTATTTTTTATTATTTCGTTAAAAATCGTTACAAATTGTTATACAGAGAATCCATCAATTACTATATAAATCAAAGCCAGATTTATATAACAGCGGAGTTTATAATCTAGTTAAAATAGAAAAAACAGATTCATCATTTGTTTTCAATGAACGCAGACTAAACATGAAACTATTAACTCCAAAGACTCTAAAATTGCGTTGAAAAGTATTTTTCAAGAAGTTTCGACTAGCTTTTTATTTTTTTTACGTAAAAAATTAATGCATCAATATTTTCTTTTGAAAATTTAGATTTTATTCTGAAGAGATTAATTAAATTACATTTCTAATATTTATGAAATGCTCATCTGAACTGGTATACGCACATATGAATATCAATTCAGGTACTTATTTTACTTGAAGAATCAACTAGCGTCGATAATGATGATTCTAAGGGTGGGTGTGGGTGTGGGGTGTGGGTGGGTGTGAGTGTGGGTGTGGGGTGTATGTGTGGATGGGTGTAGGGTTGGGTGGGTGGGGTATGGGGTGTGGGTGTTCTTCTCTCAATCAAAATTAACCCACGCCCCACACCCACACACACCCCACGCCCACACCCACACCCCACACCCACACTCACACCCCACACCACCCACACCCACCCACCCACACCCACACCACCCACACCCCACACCCACCCACACCCTCTTTTGTTCACAAATAACCAAAGAGAGTTACTATACTAATTATATTAGTATCAGTCTTTATTAAATCTTTTCGAAATGCTCAATATTTACAACGACCTGTCCACGTAAAACGTGATTCCGTCACACTTTATTTGTTGTATTTCATACAAATGACTCGATCTCTAGAATCCAATGCATTTGCAATCTTGGACAAAAAATTGTGTTTGTCAGAATGAGACACTGCAAATTTGTCTGTAACTTCTCATTCATTACAAACGAGCGTGACGGAATCATCTCCCTCCGTGGACAAGTCGAAAACAATTCTTAAGTAAACCTTACGAAACACGTTTTCTTTCAATAAAAATGTGGTGAAATGAGTTTTTAAGTAAGAAGAATATATTTTTTGTTACACTTTGATGTTTTACATTAGTCTAACTTCGAATTAGGTCTAGATAACAGCCTAGCAGCCTAAAAATTTCCAAGACTTTGATTTTAGTCTTGCCATCATAAAATCCTGGGTCATGATTTTCGCGTACAAAAATAGTGAAAGGAGCAAAACTTTCAAGTGCTATTTCATATCATTTCCAAAGTAATTTTAAAGAATTTACTTTGCTTAACTCATATGCTTTGTGTTGGTGAATTTCTGCAAGATTCTGTATGCAGAATGGATATATTTTGCATCATTCCAAGCAAAACAATACAACACACATTTGAAAAAGAAACGCGTTTTACGTTTCCCCCAATTTGTATCTGTGGAACGCGTCGCCTGTCGACCAAAGTGCGTTCGACAGCATTTTAATTCGGAAACGCCTCGAAATGCAATCTTGAAAAAAGCGTTTCGGATCGTTTCAAAAAACGACTGTGGCAAAACGCATTTTATGTAAGTAAGAATGCTGCGAAACGCGTCCTATATTGCAAAAACGTTGCGAAACGCATGCTACAATCTCGGAAACGCGTTACGCGGTTCGTTTCCTTCAATATTTTACTCAATGGGTTCAACTATTACTATTTGCATGATTCAATTATTAAAGAGAAATCAACTTTTCCTCTTAATGATATTCATTTTTCATGCGGTCAAGTGCATTCTTTCCAGTATGAAATTTTTCCATCTGAAAATCAAGTATCGCCTCACTTTACGTTCCCCAATATTCACAAACTTGACCTGTACTTTCCTATGGATGTTAATTTTTGGTCAGTAATACCTCGACTAGATCATTTGAAATCACTTATAGTGAGTATAACTGATTGTGTTCAGAAGTTGGATACTGAATGCCAATTGCAAACCATTTTGGATCGAACACCTCGTTTATATACTCTCAAATTTGAATCTTGGCCGGAGACTTTTATAGATATGCCACCATTTAATTATTCAAGTAATTCAGTTCGTCGACTTGATTTACAAAATATTGATGGACCTTACAATCATCGTCAGTGTGTTATATTGAGTCGTTCATCATTACGCAAACAATGTGAAGTACTTTCAATTACAGTTAGATATCGAAGAAGTATACTCTATCTTCTTCGTAAAATGACAAATATTCGAGCATTGAATTTTGTCTCTCAAGAAGATCCATGGACAGATCGAAATAAAGATTCCTCATCTTTGTCGGATGAAGATGATCGTACCGATGACGAACTTATTGCGTGGTTAAAAGATTGTTTACCATCTACTTATACGATTACGAGATGTACTGAACAAATTATTCAATGGGGAACTTTGACTATTGGCTATCCTGTACGATTGTGGATTGGCTGACTCATAAACTAATAGGAAAAAATAGGGATAATAATATTACAAACATTTTTTTCAGAAACTATGTGGTTCGGAGTGGATGTGAATGCGAGTGGGAATTCTGAAGAAAAAAATCACAATTCACACCCACTCCTTCATGCATCTGATAATTGAAAAATAATATTGTTATTCTAACCTGGAATACATGCATAGTATTCTATTGAAAACTATTGAAACAAAAGTCAACATTAGAATGTGAAATATAGAAATGTTTCACAGAAATCATACGTAAGAATAAATGACTGATAGACCAATGTTTTATAACAAAAAACAAACGCAATCTGAAACTTTGCAAAACTATTGAATTCTCGCCTGTACAGAATTCCCTACCTGTAGAAAATTTGAAAACTCTTCAAACACCAGTTTTAGCCTTTGTTTTCTTATAATACCAAATATTTGACATTACATCGATGTGTAGGATGGATGTGGGTGTGGGTGACTATAGATAAAAAAATATTCACACTCGCACCCACGTCTACACCTACACCCAAAATTTCAAGGAAAATTTTGATAAATGGAAAACTAAATAGACAAGGACAAAAGAAAAAAAACTTGCACTTCGAGACCATAATTGCATAGAAAATAACTGGACTACGCTTATTGTGTTACTGATTTTTTTTCAATGAATAGTGCAATCATTTTTAGAATAGAGTTAAATGATAGAATTGAATGATATTATATGCCATAATAACAAATTACGAAAGTATCACTCAGTGTTCTTTTGTACTTGATAACACATAATCAAGTTTATCAAAATCGTCAAAAACATTATCGTTATCATAGTCGTGTGTAGAATTTTTGTTGGCACTGTATGTTTACTTATTCATAGCCCAATTCTATTCAATTATTATCATTTATTTTAAAAGTAATCAAAATCATATTGAATTAACATGAATTACAGTTAACTTTTCGAATATTTTTCATACTTTGATAATACATACATCGTATTTTGACATTTCCAAAAGAATTTTTATAAATAGAGCCCTATAATACTTAGTCAGATGATTTGTTAGTGACAAATTTATAAAATGACATTTAACAGAAAACTTTTCTCACAATAATAACTAGAACTGATAAAACCCGACTATTTAGATATAGTCAATTACGAGAAATTTTCTAACGAGAATCAATTTATGATAATAACCTGACAAGTTCGTTTCTGATGATAAAGTTCGTTATCTCTGACTTAGATATCTTCCACAACCATTTTCCATAATAAAATAATTTTGAATTGAAATGTTAAATAACAAAGTCTAAACTGATGATGAAGATATGAGGTAATACAATGGCAAATACAACATGATGCTTGTTGAAGAATTCAAAAAGGTCATTGAACTTCAAGATCCTCCTATTTACACAGAAAATAAATCACAAAGTATATCAATAAATTATATACACTTGTTTGTAGTAGAGTACAGTCAAATACAAACGTTAAAAGCATACTTAAAGTAATAGCGATATCGTTTGATAGCCCATGAGCTGCTCACCAGGAAAACAGCATTTTAGCCTTAACAAATGCTTCTTTCCGATCGAAAAATACAAAATACTCGAAAGGTGTTGTTTCAGATTCAGCGTCAAAAACGGAGTACAGACAAGTCCTTAAATCAATTATAGATCCAAAACTCTATTAGTGGTGGTTCGAATCTTGTCGAATGCACTACATATAGGTTGATTTGGTAAACCTATCTATCAGTTAAAAATTCTTGATGAATAGTTCTAAGTTTTGAAGAATTTCTAACAAAAGAGAACAATTACAATTTATTGATTATCAACAAAGAAAGTTAATTTTCATAATATATAATAAAATAACAATTTACATAAGGAATTTTGGCGAGAGAATATTCTGCATCTGTGAGTATTGTATAACAAAGCAAGATTGACATCTAGTGTTACGATGAGATCGAAAATTTTCTACTAATTGAAAAAGAATATTATCTATATCGACATAGTTTAATTCAATCAGATGTAAATAGAAACTAAATCGATGAAGTGATGGTAAATACGAACTAATTAATGATGCACACCAATCATAATTTAATGAACAGTTTTTCACAGTTGAACTGAATATATGACGATACATGCAAAGTTGTTCGAGATTGGGTACACATGAAAGATAACTTTTAATAACATGATCATTCCAAGAATGAGCAAAAAAATCATTTTTTAATGTTAATCGTTTAATATTTAAATGTGATTTAATATCAGAAGGTATTTCAGTCTCGGTAGATATGATAAATTTAAATGAATATAAATTCGGACATAATGATAGAATGTATTTATAATCAAATAAATTAATATGTCCAACTTCTAAAAAACGTAATGATGTCATTTGTATCCATTCTCGTGTTCTTCTTATCGTCGTCATATTCGATAAATAACAATATTGTAAATGAGATAAATCATTTGAAAATATTTTATCAAATATTGCAGGTAAATCATTTGAAGATAATAAGTACATATTTCGAATAGCAAGATATTTTAAACAAGTTAAAATATTTTTATTAAGTTGTTTAATCTGTTCGAATGTTGGATGTATTAATACAAGAGAATGTATATGTGTAAAACAAGTGAAATCAATATTAATTTTATTTTGAATTATTAATTTATTAATATAAGAAATAAGTATTTTATCATATTCATTTAAAGTTTGATTAGAATTTGAAATTGTAAGAGAAAGATGTTTGAGTGATAGAAGAAGATTATTCAAACGAGTATTTATGTTGAAAAATGATCGATACAAATCTCGAATATCAAAATATTCAAATAAAATTATAAGAATTTCGTTAGGTAAGAATTCGAATTGGAAGATCTGTTGTTCATCATTCACAAATATATCAAGAAAAAAAAACAAATAACAATTCTAACGAAATTAATATGGAACTTTTTCACTATCATTTTCATTTAATGTATAATGAAAAACTGAATAACTTCATCATTCTCATTGTGTCTATTTCAAATCAGACACAAGTTTCTATAGAAAAGAAAGAGAAAATAATTCATATACAAAGAGCATCAGAAGTGAATGAACAGGCAGACATAATGATGTATCGGTCACGACACATACGAGCGGACAATAGGTCAGATGATGTGTCCGGTGAAGGCACTTCCATTCTCGGCATCCGTGCCTATTGTTGATTCTTTTTATTCTATTCATTCGTAAAAATCGATAAAAACTGTTCAAACGAGAACTCAGATTAAAAAATTCTGAAAAAACATTTGCAATCATTTGGGTGTGGGTATGGGTTAGGTGAAAGAGAACACCCACCCCCACAACCACCCCCACCCCCACCCCACACCCACACCCACATCCACCCTACATCCACACCCACCCACACCCACACCCACCCTACATCCACACCCACACCCACACATCCACACCCACACACCCACACCCACCCACACACACACCCACACCCCCCCCCCCCTCATTTTGTCATTGTCGTCTGCGAGAACAATGATTATATTAGATAACGATGAATGGATGATAGAATTTTTCTTTCTATCTAACATTTTTCATTCTTTATTCGTAATCTATTCGTCAGGTCATTCTTTTTTTGTTAGAATGTTTAACATGTATTATGCTCTTTATAGAACATATTTTCATCTTAAAAATAAGGTCTAATAGCCCAACTACATATTAGAAGTTTACTCATAAATTCTTAAACCTATCGTTGAATAATAGACCACCATTGATTTTATTTGGTTAAATTCAAATAGTAAATATTATAAAAATGTAAGAAACAGAGACTATTTTATTGCATCTGACCGAATGGTTTTATACATAACATCAATTATAACGTCAATGAAATCCTGTTTTTAATTGTGGGCCTCATTAATCGCTCTTAAAAAAATAGAATAAACTATAAATGTAATTCATAGCCCACATAAAAGAATCAATGAAAATAGTCCATATCTAATCGGATTGAGAAGTCAACAAATAATTGTTTTCAACTGCAATTCTTGATTATTATACTGAACAGTAAATGGAGATTTTATAGAAAAAATGAGATGAATATTGCTACTTAGTATGTTTAAGTTTGAGAACCCATTCCGAGGAAGAAAACCTTTAAAAAATGTTATCTCAGAAATGGATAAGCCTCACATGTTGGATTCATTTGAAGAACACTTATGGGAGAGTCCATGAATGTATCGAGAAAGGCCATTTATAGAAAAAATTGACATATACTTTTTTTTTATATCAATCGATTCCTCACACAAAACTGGGGTTATGAAAAGTTGTTTAGACTCCTGTGATGTAATTTGACGGAATTATATTGGTGAACTCATTATTATTTGATATTTATTCAATTCTTTTATGTTGACAAGGACTTTTGTATCCTATTCAGTATTAGAATAATATTTAAACAAATGCTTGATTTTATAAGTCTCTCTGAATTGAATTATGTCTTCCTTTACCAAGGTTTTAGTCGTTAGTTTGAACAGTAAGCTACATAAATTTGGTAATCGTTTTAAATATTTTGAACATATGTTTTGAGTATGTTTCTTTTTTTTCAACTCTTGATTTTTCAGTAATATGCAAAATGTTCATTCGAATTCATTCTGTAGTATAGTATTGAAATGACATTGTAGTAATAAATATGTATTACATATTGTTGTCTGTATGTCTATTCTATTTTTTATCATCGTAATTTTTTTGTCAAATGAAAAATCTGAATATTGTTAGTCTATTCTAGAGAAAACAGACAAATGGTCTTAAATATGATTTGCATCGCTTATTCTAGACGTAAGAATAAATTTTATTTTCGTTGTCAATGAAAGGAGATCAAATGATTTTATAATACAAATCTTATGAATTTTCAAAGAAGGCTGAATAAAAGTTGAAAAGGCAGGATGCTCATCTATTTGTGTACTTCTAGTTTATTTCTCTGGATTATTTATGTTTATGTAGTATTGTGATGTTCATAATTAAAACAATCATATAAAAAGCAATAATACAAAATTGTTTTTGACATGATCATATTTTTTACTTGAGGGTGTGGGTGTGTGGATATGTATTGTGTGGTTATGCGCGAACAGAACACTCCACATCCACACCCTCCGTGTCGTTAAACCGATTGACCACCTTGTTCATTTTCTCTCATACGTATCTTACTCTTTGATGTAGAGTGTCATGCTACAATTAGTGAGTAGAAATTCGATATTGTTGAATTCCAAATAGTTCACCAAGTTGCAAATTTTTCTTTTCAATTTTTGTTAACAATGACTCCAGTTTGAAATTAATACTAGATTGGAATGAGATGTTCGCTGCGTATGTATATTTTCTTAAAATTTTTTTCAAATGAAACTAAAAATTTTTTCGATCTAAAGTTGTATTAAAAATTAAAGATTCTATTTTCTTGAGAAATCTTTGATGGCTGATAAATGATCATTATTTAAATCATAGATGAAATCCCAAGTGTAGATTTAATTCAGCGATTTATACTGCAAAAAACATCTTGAATATGCTAATTTAAAATCCTACCGATGTCCCATGAAGAATAGGATATACCAGTATTTTATAAAAATTTCAATCAGTTTTCATCATTCTGACTAGAACATGTTTTTTTTGTCAAAAGATTTTATGCATAATATTCTTTAAAAGCAAAAGTTCTGATGTGTTGCAAATAGGTCCTAGAAAATACCTCAGTTCAGCAGATTTTAGCTCTTAGCAATATCGATTGTTTAATATACTGTCGATGCCAAAAGTTTCACACCATTTTTTTATTTTGACTCGTGTATTTAAACTACAGAACCTTAATTTAATTTGGTTATATGCCTGTAGAGCGGAGATCAAGTACTATATCTATACACCTGTTTAATACGAAAAATCCTTGAATATGAAATAAGATTAAAAAAACAAAATGATGGTATTGTTATAGGATACTTCCATTGGCAGTCAACCACAAAAAATACAATGTATGAGGAAAACTTTTCATTTTATCGGACTTTGTAGAGCTTTTTCCTTGATCATTTTGGTGAAAAAAACATTTTCGATTTCAGTGAGAAATGCGGATGTTATAGTCAAAATATTAAACACTGGAATATCGGGTGTCCCAAAATATTTGCAACAGTTTGTTTTGCGAATATTTCTGCACCGACTAATGATAAAATCTTGTTTTTTTTTTCAAAAAATGTGCCGTTGAAAGCTCTATAAAGTTTGTATAAACAATTCCTATTGCAAAACAAAAAAAGTCTTCCAAGCATTTTTATTATCATTTTGTCTTTTCTTTTTCGAGACCGAACTTTGTTGTTTTTTTATTGCATTTTATATTCAAGATTTTTTCGTACTAAATAGATATATACATATATATAGTACTCGATCTCTGCTATACAGGCATATAACTAAATTAAATTAAGGTTGTGTAGTTTAAATACACGACCACAAAATAAAAAAGTGGTGCGAGACTTTTGACGTCAACAGTATTGTTCGTTTCTTCTTTATTCATATACTTATACCATGTATATGTTGGCCTCTAGCCAAGGTTCGACATCAATCATTATTTCGTAGTTGAATTTTCAACTTTTTTTTTCCTTTCGTTCTTCTTCGAATTGATTATAAATACAATATCTTTTTATTAATGAAGTTGTTGTTTTGTTCTATTCAGCCTGCGATGAAGCAAAAGGAACTGTAACAGTCTTCTCTCTATTCTATTCTTCTCATCATTTTCTTTTGCTTCTTTCGCCGCTGCGCTACTGTGTCCATTTGTTCCTTTGTTTATTTGCCACTATACACTTCATGTTGTTATCTTGTCCCTTATTTACATTATCAATGTTTGTTGGTTCACTCGTTTTGTTGTATCATCCTCTCTCTCTAGTTTATGACTTTCTGTTCGAGAATTATAGATCTTCAAAGTTTTCAAAAGCATTGGCTGGAATTGATCCTATTTTTTTAATATTTCCGAAAGAAAATGAGATTTTTAACAATCTTAGATCAGGTATTCTTCAAGAAGAATACAACCAGAGTGTAAGAGCGTCTTTTTTCCACATTCACTATCGCTCAATACGGTAGAATGCAAAGAAGTTAGATATCCATAACTTTTTCTGTGCATATAAGTTCAAGAACGCAAGGATTTGCCGTATTCAAGTAGTAAAAAAACCTCTGAGTCAGCATCTAAAACATGAGCTAAATTGGACAACTGTCAGAATGAGGAAGTATTAATAGACACGGAGAATACTCTCTTCTGATGCTTTGTGCTTCGTTTCATGTAACATCCTCGAAATAGAAAAAGCAGTTGTTTTAGTTTGTGTTCGATCGGAAGTGAAAGAAGCGAAAAAGAAAAGAAGAATGTAGGAGTGTCGAGTAACTATATATCGACTTCAATTCTCAACAAGAACCGTACTCCTCTGTTACTATTTGACATAGATATAAAAGAGAAATGGTTGGCTCCATTCAGCTTGCACTGTTCGTCTTCTTACTCCTCATTATCCCAACAGCGTCAATTAAATGCTATTGGGCGT